CTTGGACTAGACATTGATGAACCTTCACAAATAATTATTGTAACTGCAAATGGACAGAGAGAAAGAGCACTAGGAACCATTAAAAATGTGCTACTAATCATTCAAGGAATTCTCATCAAGACGACATTCCAAGTTATTGATTCGACTGATCAAACCTTACTGTTAGGAATCGATTGGTGCAAGAAAAACAAAGTTAATGTTGACTTTGAGAACAATGAAATGATCCTTACCTCTGGATTGGATAAAGCAATAGTTCCAGTACAATGTATCGTTGGAAAAAGGATTCGTGCTGTGACCATTGAGGATGAACTCGATGAGATGATTGAACAAGGATTAGAATACGACGACGAAGAAGAAACAGATAGCTATGTCGTCGAGATTGAAGAACAAGAAGAAGATTCTGACCTTTGGAATCAAGCCTGGGAGAAAAACTCAACTCAATCTTGGGCTGATGAAGTAGAAGCATATGAAGAAGAAGTTAACCACCCCAAATACGTACTAAATATTTTGTATGACAAAGATGGTGTATTTCTCTCAATCAGAAAAGGAGAAGTCATGTATGGAATGTGGCAATCTCCTGGAGGAAAAGTAGAAGGGAATGAGAATCCAATGAAAGCAGCAGTACGAGAAACTGAAGAAGAAACTGGAGTAAAAGTCAAAGAAGAAGACTTAGAATATTTATTCAATGACCCAGAATTCAATTGTAATGTATACGCAACAAAGATTCCTAAAGGAACTAGATTGGAACAAACTGAAGAAGACAAAAATGGACCTTGGATTTGTCTCAGTTTTTTAAAATATGAAGAGATAGCCAAACAGGGAAATCTATCCCAACTCATATGACATTTATCAATAAAATATTGGATTGAATCATGTAGAATAACTTACCTAATAGTCTTGCAGAAACTATGTAAGCAGAAACTGTAAAAGAGGAAGTTGTAACTCCAAAGCAACAAAAGGAAATTGATGTTTTAATGGAAGAAAATAAAGACAGATTCATCACTAATATCTCTGAGATTGGACAATCAATCAGAGTTGGAAGAACCAATGTAGCTCAACATAAAATCGATACAAGGAATGCTGATCCCATCAGGAGAAATTACTATCAAACGATAAAGGAAGAACAAGAATTTATCGATGAAGAAATTAAGAAGATGTTATGTGAAGGAATTATTCAAGCATCTGATAGTCCATGGGCATCACCTGCAATTCTTGTGAAGAAAGCAAATGGAAAGAAAAACTATGTATCGATTATAGAGGACTTAACAAACTCACAAGGGAAGACGCTTATCCTTTACCTAGGATTGATGAAATTTTGGAAAACTTAAATGGAGCGAAATGGTTCTCAACATTTGACCTAGCTAATGGATTCTGGCAGATTGAAATGAATCCTAGGAATAGAGAAAAAACTGCATTCGTGATTAAAGGTAGACATTATGAATTTAATATTATGCCTTTTGGTCTATGCAACGCCCCAGCAACCTTTCAGAAAACAATGAACAAAGTATTAGAGGAATATATCGACTGATTTGTAGCAGTCTTTATTGATGATATTATCGTCTATTCAAACAGTTTTGAGGAACACTGTGAATACCTTTAAATGCTCTTTCATAAGTTGAGAAAGGCAAATCTTGCGTTAAACAAAGAAAAATGTGAAATGTTCAAAAGAGAATTATGATTCTTAGGACATAAAATCAATGAATATGGAATCCTACCAGACCCACAAAAAATAAAGAAAGTTCAAGAATTCCCTGTGCCAAAGAATGTGAGACAAATTAAAGGATTTCTTGGATTGGCATCATACTATCGAAAATTTATCAAGGATTTTTCGAAAATTGCCAAACCTCTAAATAACTTAACGAAGAAAGGAGTTGAATATAACTGGACCAATGAATGTCAAAATGCATTTGAAACTTTGAAAGGAAAACTAACACAAGCTCCAATATTAGGATACCCTGAATTTGACAAAATGTTTTATCTTTTCACTGACGCCTCAGGAATTGGACTAGTACTTGCATAAAAGGATGACCAAGGAAAAGAAAAAGTAATTGCTTATGCAAGTAGAACTCTTAATATTCATGAACAAAATTATAGCGGTCAAGAATTAGAATGTCTAGCAATTAATTGGACAGTTGAATACTTTCATCCATTTGTTTTGCAGTCAATCTCTTTTTACTAAGTACATTCTTTGTTTTAATGAACTTATCATTGATTTATTTGGTAATAAATTGTCTGTTATTAAACAGAGATACCCAGACTCTTAAATATCTAGTGGATTCTTTATAGTGTAATGGTGTTAGCCAAATGTTATTTTCATTGAAGTTGAAATTAACTGAAGCATGATCTTTGTCATTAATCATAAGAATGGATTTATCCCAATTGACTTGTATGCTATTAAGCATATAAAAGGAGTCAGCTATGCTCATAATATTTAGGAGATCATATCTGGAATTTGCAAGTAGAAGGTATCATCCATATATGCTAAAGCTGGAACATGATTTGAAAAATTTTGTATATTACACTTGGTGACGTTAGTGTTCCAGTGGACATGTTACGTATAACCATGTGATGAGTTTTGTATATAACAAAGTAGCAGGTCGTAATATATACACCATAAGATGGGTGATATGATTTCGCCTTGAGAGAACTAAATAAGTATCAGAGTTACCGTGCGTGGTAAACACTTGATTAAAATGAAAAATGAAAATCGAGATCAAGAATTTTATAAATGCTTCTGGGATTTGGAGGCGTCCAAGAGCTTTGATCAACATAGTAATATTAACACGGTCATATGCTTTGGACATATCTTGAAATAGAATTCAAAGATTATTGTGGTGAAACAAAGCATCATAATTGACATTATTGAAGATATGAATTGGTTCAAAGCGTGATTAGTCATGTGTTTATTAAGTTGTATTTCCAGGGTTTTGGCTTGGGTATTGGATATACAAAGGCCAGATTCCATCTACTAGATGCTAGATTGAGCGACAGGCATCTGCAGATTATAATCCAGAAACATTTAGCTGCGAAGAGGCCAAGGTATTTTAGCATCTCATTGGAAATCTTAGATGGTCCAGGAGCTTTTTCATTAGGGAGTGCCCTGATGATATTGTTTCACTCTTCCTCTGAAGGAGGTTGCATAATATTATAGTAAATATTAGGATCAATTGATTCATCTGGTGTATAGACTTGTTCCCATACCTCAGGGAGGGATGGGTTAGAATACTGAGAGCCAACTACTTTTTGGAAGTGTCTTGCAGTTTCCTTCTGAACATCCTTTAGGTTTGTAAAGAGTTCTTTGTCAGGGCTATTGTTGTTTAAACATCTGTCGAGTGTAATTGTGATGCAAGGACGATCAAGTAGCGAATCAAACATAGATCTTTGGTTTTAAGTTCTGCTTCATTTAACTTAGCCAAAGTGGAAAAGACTTTACGGAGATCAATTAACAATGAAATGAGCATCCTGAGTTCTTATAACGAGGGGTGACTGATATCAGAAATTACTGTGCCATATTCTGTTAAGAAGGCTTGTACTTTTTATACCATATATTCTATTTAGAATCGACGATGTTATTCTTGATGTGCTTGTTACTAGATTTGTAGAATTTTTGGATCGTCTTAATACGTTTATAAATTAATTTGAGGATACGTGGTCTAATGTCCCTGTTATGATGTGATGTGTATTTATTAGGAATTGTTTTGGTGGCAGCGTCTATAATTGCTTTCTATAGAAGATCCCAATAGTGGTTCAAATGGTGTATAGTGTGTATGCTATTTAATGACATGTTATAAAGCCTTGTGTTTTTGCATTGTTGGTTAACTGAAGTCCTAAAGGCAGACCAGTTCTCTTTAGACATTTCGTTATATCAAAATATTAGTTTTTTGATTGCAGCACGTTGGGTAAAAGACAGATTAATAGATGCTAAAGAGATAGTTGCATAAACAATGGCATAGTCAGACAAGTCTTCATCAACTTTTACTACAGTTTGGTCGATAAGGTTAGGAGTTAAGGAAGAGTGCATGAAGATGTAGTCGATCATAGAGTGTCCAGTGTTAGTTTCATATGTAATGAGGTCATTCTTTGATTTTTGATTCTTGACGAGGTTAAGATTATTGATCATATGGAGATTATCAAATGAAGTGAAAAAGGCTTTCAAGTTTGAAGGATTGGAGAGGCGTGACAGATTCGCGTGATGTGCAAAAATAATTTTTTTTTTTTTTTTTTATAAGTGTGGCAGTCTCGCATGATCTTTATTAATATTTATGAGTTTACAAGAAAACAAAATAAAATAGAAAATACAAAAATATCT